TAACTGCACAGATGGGTACGGTCCTCTGGTTAGTCTGCATTATCTACTCTAGCCCCTCCCTGAGGCCTCATGCAATTAACACAAAGTTACATATAACAGGTAGTAGGAAGTGACTGGATACTCAGATGAGTCTTGTGACGCCACCGCCACCACTCTGTAAGAGGATATAAACAGTCTCTAAGTCCCATTTTATAAGAGGGTACACTTGAACTCCCCAAGAATGTAGCTGCTTGGCTCACATACAGTTTCCTTTTAGTGTTTCATTTAATATTTATTTTTAAAATTCCATTTCTTTAAAGTCATTTGGAATTTATTTAGGAGTGGCTACTAAAAATGTGTCTTAAAACACATTTACAGGGCTGGAGAGATGGTTCGGTAGTTAAAATCACTGGCTGTTCTTCCAGAAGACCTGGGTTGAATTCCTAGCACCTACATGGTGGCTCACAACCATCTGTAAACCCAATTCCAGGGAATCCAAAACCATCTCCTGACCTGAGCAGCAGGCACTAAGAGGTACACAGACTTCTATGAAGGCAAAACATCCATTCATATAAAATAAAATAATTTTTTAAAAAATCAACATTTAGAACTTTAGGTATCACAACAGATGCTATACAAAGTAAATAGTTACAATATTAAAGTGTCCAAGCGATCACCAGTTAACACAACAAATTTTCCTATAACATAACTATCAAAAACTGTTCTTTCTTCAGCCAGGCCTGGTGACAAAAGTCTTTAATCCCAGCATTCAGAAAGCAGAAACAAACAGATCTCTTTGAGTTCCAGGCTAACTTGGTCTGCATAGCAAGTTCCAGACCAGCCAGAGCTACATTGTGATACCTCAAAAATCCAACAAAACAAAGCAAACTTGTTCTTACTAGTTCATTTTAATAGCTGTGAGCTATGCAAAAACTTCCCTTAGGGCTGAAGAGATGGCTCAGCAGTTAAGAGCCTTGCTATGGTAGATACCTCGGGTTAGATTCCCAGCACTCACATGATGGCTCGCAACTGTTCCTAAGTCCAGTTCCAGGGGGATCCAACACCCTCCCTCCGTGGTCACTAGGCATGCACATGGTACACATACATATCTGCAGGCAAAACACCCATGCACCTAAAATAAATAAATCTAAAAACAAAAACAAAAACAAAAACCTTTTACCAAACTGACTTTAATAGTCTTACTTTAGAAAAGGCATCCTTCTATTTTATTTGATGTCTTTTGATATGTATAGTTGCAGCCTGGTGGTGGAGGCACACGCCTTTGATCCCAGCACTCAGGTAGCAGAGGCAGGCGGATCTCTATGAGTTCAAGGCCAGCTACAGAGGAGTTTCAGGGCAGCCAGGGCTACACAAAGAAATCTGTATCAAACAAACAAACAACAACAAAATTAAATTTATCTGGGCAGAGGTGGTGCATGCCTTTGATCCCAGCACTCTGGGAGGGAGAGGCAGGCAGATCTCTTGAGTTCAAAGCCAGCCTGATCTACGAAGTGAGTTCCAGAATGGCCAAGGCTTACACAGAGAAACCCTTTCTTGAGGAAAAAAATTAAAAAATAAAAAGTACAGTTGCTTTGATATCAAATACTTGGAATTTTCTTTTTTAAATGAAAATATAATTATAAAGCACGTCGTTCAGTGCATGAGCGGGTGATGCCCTTGTCAGGGTAGAGCTTGAATTTCACCTGTTTGTGACTGAAAGAGAACAAAAGCCTCCCTTCATGATTCATGGGGCAGGAATCACAAGAGCAATTAGTGAATGATTAAGTAGAATCCAAATGCCAAGGGGGTGAAGTCGAAATCCTACTACGGTAGAAACCAGAAACCCTGGTTTCATTGCCCCTCCTAACTCACTTACCCAATTTCCTTAAACTAATCTCTCACAACTTCTGCACCTGTTGCCCAGTGCATTAAAGAAAGATCTCATTTGATTTGTTCGAAACCATATTAAAATATTAAAAGCACCTTGAAGTCCAAGTCTCCACGGACAGGGTCAGCAGTCATCAGCAACTCAGTGTTTTCCCTAATTAGGAAGTCTCCTTTGCAAGCCTCATCTATAATCTCAATGTCCAAACGTTCTGAGGCCCACTGAGGATAGTAGAATGCCAGAGGAAACAGCTTGGGAATCACAGATATGCCACTTTACTGCTAATGAGACTGAAATGATAATTCATTTTAAGGAACCAAACCTTCCTTCCAACGCTTGTGATATGTTAACAAGTTTTTTATCTCTTTCCTAATAGTTCAGATCTGTGAGATGTTAGTTTGTGGATATGTATCTGTAAGAACACTCACAAGAAGATGCATATTTGTACCTTTGTGAGATGTTAGTTTGTGGATGTGTACCTACAGGAGTGCTCACAAGAGGATGCGTGTCTGTACCTTTGTTCACTACCATTCAAATATGTCGAGAATAGCACTGAGGCGGGGAACCAGGAGACTATGCTGAGCTTTCTCTGGAGTGCATTAGTGACAAGGATAAAGGAATGAACAGTAGGTGAGTGTACTGTAATGGTCTGTGATTACACACTCTGTGTCCTCTGGTGGCACGTGCTTATCACCCCAGCATTCTGGATGAAGAAGCAGAGGCGACAAATTTGAAGATAGCCTGGAATACTTGGGGGGAAAAAAGGTTCTAAATTCACAGCTGATACCAAGTTCTTGGACTCTAAGTGTAAATTTCCTAGAATACTTTCATCAGAAAAACCTTTGCTTAATCATCCATTCAGTAAACGTTGAGTGCTGAGGAAAACTGTTAGGTTGAACTGTGTGGAATTACAAATGCTGACTATTGTATTTATTTTTTACTTTCAATTTACAAAAAAAATTGGTATTTTCATAAGTTGAGCACAGAAAGTTACACAGATCCTTAGAGAGGGAAAGAATATAAGCAGAGGGCTGAGACTCTGGGACACAGCTCTGTGGGAGAGCACATGTATAGCCTGCATGGGGTCCTGCAACCCCAACATCAAAACAGGAAGTAAGGAAGGGAGGGCGAGAGGAAGGGAGGAGGGTAAGAGGCAGGGAGGGAGGAAGGGAAAGATAAAAAAAATAACAATTATTAAAATGTTTACCAGGCCAATTTTGAAGCAATTCAAAGAGATGAGAGGAGAAAAAAAGTTAAAATTGGGAAGGGAGAAAAGGAATATACAAAAACAAAAAGAACAGTACATCAAAAGCAATAGTCTTGAGATTGGAGCGATGGTACAATGGTTAAGAACACTAGCTGTTTTTCCAGAGGACCTGGGCTCATTTCCCATCACCCTCATGGCAGCTCCCAGTTGTCTGTAACTCCAGTTCCAGAGGATTCGACACCCTCCTGTGGTAATTACAGACACCAGGTACATGTATGGTGCAAAGACATTATATATAGGCAAAACACTCATACACATAAAATTTTTAATTTTAAATTAAAAAATAAATGAGTTGTTTGTTTTGAGACAGAATCTCACTATGTGTGACCCTGGCTGACCTTGAACTCACAGAGATCTGCCTGCCTCTGCTTCACTAATGTTGATGTTAAAGGCATACCTTACCATGCCTAGCCCAAAGATAATTTCTTAATAATTTAATTCATTTAGAATTTTTAATGTCTAAGACTTTATAAAGAAAAGACATTGTTCTCTTTCTTCTTCTTTGTCTTCTCCTCCTTCTCCTTCTCCTTTCTTTTCTTTAGAGAAGAAAGTTTATTCCAGCTTACAGTTCCAGGAGGAGAGCATGGTGGGGAAACCATGGCACGGCAGTAGGGGCAGGAAGTTGACTGACATGTTTCATTAGCATGGGAAGCAGAGAGAGAGAGGGAGAGAGAGAGAGAGAGAGAGAGAGAGAGAGAGAAAGGGAGAGAGAGAGAGAAAGGGAACAGGAAGTCAGAAAAGACAATGTTCATAATTATGTATTCTTTATGTTTTTCAAATCTAAATTCTGAAAAGAAAAGATAAATCTTTAAAAAAGGAATATTGAGGAAGTGAAACAGTTTTTTAAAAAAAAATCATAGAAGTTCTTAATTATGCCGCATATGCTGGTGCTTGCCTGTAATCCCACCCATCTAGAGCAGGAAAACTCTTTTAGTGCTCAAGGTCAGTCTAGGGTACCCAGAAAAATCCTATATCAAAAACAAAAACAAAATGGAAAAACAAAAATCCCAAAATTAAAAAAAAAAAAGCAGGAGATTCAAGACTATCCAGATGGAAAGAACAATCAGCAAATTACTGAAAAACCTACACTCCGTATCTTAACATTTGAGAGTTTAAGGCAGGGTGTTATGTGAAACAACTCAGTATTAAATAGAAGAGAACAGAGGAACCCTGTGTGCGCATTTCCTAGGAGCGCCGATGCGCAACCTGTCTTTCAGCCAGGAGCAGCTCCACTGCCACTGCATTACTGTACTGTGCAGCTGTGCTGCCCAGGCTGACTCCAAGCTCATGATCCCCCTGCCTCAACTTCCAGAGTAGCTAAGAGTATAGGAACTCGCTATGTGGTTTCTTCCTCATCCTACTGGTGTGGAGAATGGAACCCAGCGCCTTCCAAAAGCCAGACAAATGCTCTCCTGGTGAGGTGCATCTCTCACTGATGCTGACGCATGGGTGCTGTCGCTGATAGAAATGCATGGCTTGCTTCAGTTCCTATATGTGCCCTGTATGGAAAGTATGCATTTGCAAATGATTCTGCATAAAATCTGCATTAAAAAATCTGTTCATTCGGAATACTGTGATTATTTGAATATGTGCTTACAAAAAAAGCCAAAAACAATTGTGTGGCACCAGGAGTGGTGGTGACTACCTGTAATACCAGTTTCCAGAGGTTTAGGCAGGAGTAATGAACTAATTACAGCTGTAAGAAAACGCAATGTCCACATGCACACCGAAAGTTCTGTGACAAACTGTGACAAAAGTCCTTGTCACAGGGCCCTGGGGGCAGCTCAGAACCACACCATTTCAAGTTCCCAAGTGCCTTGGAAGGACTATAGGGTTATTTATATATTTTCTAATCATAACATGTGGATCTCATAATGGTCCATAGCATGAGAGGAAATAGATGGCATTTCTCGGGGTGCTTGATCTTATTGTTTTCCTATTAATGATCACTGCTCTTCAATGATGAAATTATATCTAAACTGTGTCAAAAGTTTCCCAAGAGGGCTCCCGGCAAATGTTTAAAATAGACTCTTTAGCCCCTATGCAATAGCTCTGGAAAATACCTGCACCCGGATACACAATTAATGTCGAGAAGTAGGAGTCATTTCTTTTCTGCTTACTGATTTTACTGGGATAAATTAAAACCACAGTCAGTTGCTGTTGAAATGTCAAGGCTAAATGTCACAGAGCATACGTTCAGTTCCTCTCCTATTCCAAACAGTCCATTGCTACAGTCAGCCGTGTGTCTCGAAGGACGTGGATGCGACCTTACACCGAAGAGCTTCATGACCATGACCTAAGCGTTTCCTGTCACAGCCCTGAGTGCATCCTCACACCCACACAGGAGCCAGCTTCCATTTCATTCCTGAATTCACAGAGATGAGTGGGTGGGCGTGATGTGCTCAAACCCAGAGCTGCACCAGCGCATCAACCAAGTCCATTAATTGCATGGCTCTGTTTTTGTTTTCTCTTATTTCCTTGGAAATTAAATAATTCTTTGCCCATAGCCCTCATTGCTTAATAATTCAAAGCAAGCACTGGAAAGAGTCAAGACCCCGGCTCCTCACATTCACTTCTCCACGCTTTGCTGTCCCTCTGTGTGAGATGAGCATCGGAGCATCTGGCCCAGCTCCACAGGTGGCCAGAGTCTAGGAGAGAACCTAAAACACTTTAGGAAAAAAAGTGGAAGAATATTGTGATTATTAAAAAAAAAAAGTAAAATAAAAATTCAAATGCAGAAAGTAAACAACAGAAGAAATCAAGAGCCTGCTACTAGTTCACCGTTCCCCAAGCTACCTCGGAATATCTGAGTTCCATGGTGGTTGAGCGCCAATTGTGCCGTTCTTAGGAAACATGCAGGCTGAAGTTCACCACTGAGAAACAGCCTTGTCTTTCTACTCCCCTCTCAGCCAGAATAAAGGCTGCTATCTGTTGCCAGAACAAAGCCTCAATTGTCTGAGCCAAGATTACCAGAGATGTGGGTAGACTCATTCTATCAAAGAATACTGTCAGATTCCCATCTGCTGACCTCACAGCAGGGAGCTTCCCACTATGCCTCTCCTAACAGTGTGAAGCTGACAGCAAAGCCCAAGACCCTCCTTCCGAAGCTCAAGCCAAGCAAGAGACCAGCATCAGCTGAGGAGCTATTGGCCTTCTTCAGTTTTCCTTAGTAATGTGTGACTCCTGATAGGACAGGAAAAACCCTTCTCCCAAGAGTAGTTGGACAATGTAAACTGGATTAGATTGGGGGGCTCAAAATTTGGTGGGTAGAGAGGTGAGGGTGGTTATGGGAGGAGTGGGGTAGGAGAGGTGAATATGACCAAGTTGCATTGTATGAAATCTCGGTGGTAGCACACGCCTTTAGTCCCAGCACTCGGGAAGCAGTGACAGGCAGATCTCTGAGTTCAAGGCCAGCCTGGTGTAGGGAGTGAGTTTCAGGACGTCCAGGGCTACACAGAGAAACCCTGTCTCAACCCCTCTCCCATAAATAAATAGAAAGAAAGATAGGAAGGAGGGAAGGAAGGAAGGAAGGAAAGAAGGAAGAAAGAAGGAAAGAAAGAATGTACTGAATATAAAAATGAGGAGGGCCCTTTTCCGAGTACTGTGAAGGAAGTAAAGAAATCTGCTCTTGTCTAGGAGAACTTGACAGGCCTGCATTCTTAGATACAGATCTCAGAAAGATCTAGTTTTCCCGAAGGAAAATGGAGTTTATCTCTCCACTGTCAGGGCTTCCAATGGTAGATTGACCTAGTAAACAGAAGAATGACTAATTCTCAGGAAGGTTTTTCCGGTTCTTGTGTTCAACAAAAAGAAATTCCTGACTTCTCCATAGTCTGATCTCAATTGTTTAAACAGGGGGAAAGAAGACTCATTATCCAGACGGGTTAAAACCCAAGACGGAAATGAAAAGGAAAAGGGGTGGGCACAGACACTGTTTAGAAGGAACAAAAAGTGTTGATGGATAATTAGGGAAAATACTTGGTTCCATTAATCAAAATAAAATAGATAATAGCATTGTGGGGAGGAAAAAAAGAATTTGGGCAAAAGTGAATTAATCGAAGAATAGAAAGGAGTTGAAATGGTATTTTTTCACCTTTACCAAATTCCAGGCCACTTTGGCCAGAGAACAGAATGTAAAATATTGTTCCCTAGAGTGACAGAACATGTGATTTGGCCATGAAGAATGTGGAGATGCACTGTCCCTATCTTCATTCTCAAACTGTGAGCTCAGAGCATCTTGAATTATTTATTTGTAATATTTCTCACATAACGTTTTAAAAGATACATTTCCAAAATTTTACCTCATCTCATGACAACGAAATGAGCTTATTGTTCTTTTTGTTTCTGAAAAACTCAACGAAAAGTTCAAGATCTAAGATTACTTGTCCAAGAAGTATAAAGTTATTAATTGTCCCAGTAGCTATGACCAAAAATACCTAATAAAAGCAGAAACATACTTAGAATGGGTAAAATATGTTAAATTCTGTTTAAATTTGCATGCGGACACTAACCTGGTAGAATGAGAGGTACTAAAAATCACAAGCATTCATCCACTGGTGTTTTATTCGTTAGCAGAGTGATGATATCATTGCATGTCAAATAGCTTCTGGAAATTTCCACTGTAAATGAGAGGGAGGGACAGAGGGAGAGAGGGAAAGAAAGAGAAAGAGAGAGAGAATATGAAAGTGAAAGAGGTGAAAGTATGCCTTGTTATCTTATTATGGAAAAAAATTTAACATAGCAGACATCTTGAAAGGATTCTACAGACATTCCAGAACTGATGAACCCATCAAAGAACTAAAGTAATTAATTAATTTTTGGTCACGTGTCAATTCAAATCACGAACAAAGTGTATTTTTCTCGGATGAATATTGTGTTCTCGCCCCTGGACACCCCTCCACCCCCACCCTGTGAGAACATCTGGCCAAAGGTAACCTCGGGAGCCCAAGTTTTGCGTCTAAGTTGGGAAAACTTCCCTTGCGCCCCAGGCAGTCTGCTTTGCCGCCAGCTGCTGAGAGCGTTGCAACCGGTCTCATAGGGCGGAGGACTGAGTCCAGGAGGAGGAGCTCGGCCAGGTGGCCTCCAAAGACCCGCCTCTCCTCCCTGTCCCGCTGCGGTGACGGCGGCCCGGGGAACACCGGCTGGGCTCTGTACCGCGCACGTACCCCGAGCGCCCCTACGCGGATCCTAGACGCCTCCTCTGCGCGCTGGTGTCACCCGGGCGCCGTGAAAGGCCAGGCTCCAACTGTCGCCGGGATCCAAACAGCGTCTGCGACGCAGGGCCAGGCCGCCCCGGCGACCAGGAGACAACTCGGTTCCCGCCCAAGGCCTGGTGGAACATGTTTTCGGGGACGCAGGTGCGGCACGGATTGGCGAAGTGGGGAGTCACCGGGAGGGGATGCCTATGAGGTGGCGTTCAGATATCTAGTTGCGGGTCTGCGCCGGCCAGAGTCGTGTCTGCTTGGCCAGTGTCCGAACTCTACTCCGCAGATTCCAGATTTCAGGGAGCAGCTTTTGCTCCCCGGCACTCCGTGGGGTTTCACCTGCCCGGAGCGCTTTGAATCTGATGGATTAAATACCGCGCGTGGGGCGCAGTGGCACGGCGGCTTTGGATACAACAGGTCCGTGACTCCGTCCCCACTCAAACCCAACCCACTGAGACAGAGGCACAGGGTTTTGTTGTTGTTGTCCCCCGCCTTTTTTTAAAATGTCTTTATTACTTTTGTTTTAGTTTGTGTGACAGTTGCTAGACTATGTTTCCACTTCTGATCGTACTCAGCCAGCTGACCAGACTTACCCTCGCGGTTCCTCACTGGACAAAAAGCCTAAAGGATTCTGAACATGTCCGAGAAGAAGAAGGTAAGTAAGCTTGGCCGCCGACTGGGAGAAAAAACCCTTCTGGAAACCAGGAGTGCTCGGTCTACTACATAGATTTCAAGCCGAAGTGTGGTAGGGGGAGTTACACGCCCTCGTGAACCACAGAGCAGCGAGGCATCTTTTGTTTTAGTTTGTGGGGGGTTTCGTATAGGGTTGTGGGTTTTTATGTTCTTTAACTACAATATGTACAAATTTATCTCTGAGTTTCCCTCGGTAAACAGATGTTTTAACACTTGCTTTGTGGTTAACTGAATTGAAGGCCTATTTTAAAGTCCGAAAATCAATAAGTTTTCCTTTTCCGAGATGAAGCTATGTGTTAGCTTTCAAGAGCAGCCTGCTTTTTGGAAAGCCTGAGAGGGAGGCTAGACTCTTGTCAGGACTTGTTTGTGCGCTGTTGGGAATCCCCGCATAGAGAAGCGCTCCACCACCGTCTGTCCGCCAGTCTGGACCTGTGGGACCCTGAGCAAAGAACTCAGTTTCCTTAGTCTTGACCAACTTCCTCTGTAGAACGACGGAGCAGGAAGGCGCAATGACCTCTCTGGTCTTCCCCCCACCCAAAAAATGTTATGTTGTCCATATAAAGGCAGGTGATTGAGAGATAAGTGTGTGGCTTGCTAGCCCAGAATTTTCGGTTACCTGTCACAAACGAATTGGTTCCTACTTACATTTTAAAAGCCTAACCTAGTAAGACCAGGAGAGGAAAAAAGAGTGCCCTAGGCTCTCTGCATCCTTTCCCCTACTTAGTCACTGCACTTTGAATTTACTCACACATTCCTGTCCCTTATCTCTTTCGATCAGATCCAGTTCTGTTGATGGGTTTTTGTTGTTTGCTTGTTTTTCACTCTTTGAGGGGCCCACCACCCAGCTCCCAAATAAATACACAAAGATTTATTCTTATTTAAGAATACTCATTCTTAGCTTGGCTTGTTTCTAGCCAGCTTAGTTTAGCTTAAATCATCCCATCTATCTTTTGCCTCTGGGCTTTTACCTTTCTATAGACCTTTCTTGACTTCTTACTCCATGGCTTGCTGTGTAGCTGGGTGGCTGGCCCCTGATGGCCTCCTCTCCTTCACTTCTTTTCATTTCTTCCCCTATTCTTCTCCTTCTCTTTATTCTCTCTGCCTGCCAGCCCTGCTTATCCCTCTCCTGCCTCGCTATTGGCCGTTCAGCTCTTTATTAGACCGATAGGTGTTTTAGACAAAGTAACACAGCTTCACAGAGTTAAACAAATGTGATATAAAAGAATGCAACCCAGGGGCTGGAGAGATGGCTCAGTGGTTAAGAGCATTGCCTGCTCTTCCAAAGGTCCTGAGTTCAATTCCCGGCAACCACATGGTGGCTCACAACCATCTGTAATGAGGTCTGGTGCCCTCTTCTGGCCTGCAGACAGACACACAGACAGAATATTATATACATAATAAATAAATAAATAAACAAATATTTAAAAAAATTTTAAAAAAGAATGCAACCCAATTTACATCATTAAACAAATGTCCCACAGCATAAAAGAATGTAACACATCTTCAGCTAATATTCCACAACACAGTCTGCGTTCATTTTTCACTTGAGTAGGCTCTGTTTCTAATACTCCTGACAGGCTTATTAATGATTAACAAAGTGTGAAGTGTGCTCCCCTGCTGTGTGTGTGTGTGTGTGTGTGTGTGTGTGTGTGTGTGTGTGTGTGT